ACGGATCTACAGCTAACTGTTAGGATTTTTACTTGATAATGACTGAAACGGTTATTCGATCATCAAATTGCCTGTGACTAATTGATTTACTAATTGTTTCAGTGCTAATGTCATCAGATCATTCAGCTCAGCAGAACAAGGCTGTCGGTGCACCCTGGGGTGGTCTGGTAATGAGCTGCCATTAGTATCTAATCAGTCCATTGTCCAGGCTGCAGGATCTCCCTGTCATACTCTGTTTTACCTTTTGGCGTTAGCAAACAGGAATGATTGAAGTACCTTGTCTGCTTGTCTGTGTGTGCTTGCAGCTGTGAGCGTGTTGTACATGTGTTTAAGTGAAAATGTGGGAGTGACCCTTTCAAAGAAAGGTATTCCTGGTGACATGTGACCTTTCTTAGACCAAGTGATTAGCAGCCGAGTCCTGCAGCTGCCCGTCTCCTGTGGTAATGGAAGAATCTGCTCTGTGCTCCACCACAAGAACCCATCATGCACTATTTGTTATCATCACTGTCATCACTGGACTCAATGATTATTAATATTTTTGAGGCTTTTAATCCAGGAGCAGTAATGGTGTCTCACCAGCTGTTAAGACTGTTGTAGTATGTGGGAGAAAATATTTTCACAGTACTTTGCTTTCACTAGCCCAGTTATATGATTGGGCTGTTAAAGTAAACAGGAAAAGGAAATGCATTTGTTTAGTGAAGAGCTCTTAGCGGCTGTCCTGAGTGCACGGTACTGAAAGGAAAACGTTTGTGCATGCATTTGACAGGGGGGCTGAGTGAGTGAATGGATGCACCACCCGCTTTTTGTGATATTTTATTTATTTATTTTTCTAATCATGCAGTTGTTGGGTGGCTCCCGGGCCTGACAGAGTTTACAGAATAGCAGGATGAGGTGAAGTGTTTTCATTTGGCTCAATCGCTCTTCTGAAAATCAGAGTGTGGTGTTTATAGTTAAAGGCAGAAAAGCTGGAGTGATTGACTGCAGAAATCCTTTCAAATGGAAAAACACAACTATGATGGAGGGAAAAGCAACACATTATTGTCTACACAGTATGTGTTTATGGCAGTGGTGATATTCACAAAGAATGTCTTGAAGTGCTGGCTCAGCACACTGCAGGGTGAAGAGGCAGTGAAGTAACACTGGGCCAGAGTATAGATGCTCTGCTCTTTGTTTTTCAGATACAACTCTGCAGCGTGGACAGTGTTGCATAATGCAGCATTTGTTGCGATACCTACCAGGTGGTGCAATATTTCTTCATCCCTCTTTGTCTTTCTGTTTTTTCCTCCTACTCATCTGTGTGAGAATAAAGACAATCATTCATATTAACAGAGGTCAAAGGAGAAAGAAAAACATTTAGGAGAATTATATCAAGATCTCAGTGTTGACTAGACATGTTACTCATATAGTTGTAGTAAGATACAGTATATAAAGATAGAGGGGCTTTCAAAATATTCATATTTCAAGGGCAGTTGTAGTGAGTGTGCCACAGGGAAAAGGTCCAAATGAGCATTTATGGTTGTGTCAAACTACTGGATGGATTTCCATGAAATTATTGGAATCAAAATGGAGTTTCATCGAGAGATCTGTATTAACTTCCAGTCCTACTTCCCATGAACCTCAGCTGTACTTTTTGTTTAATGCTAATTGTAGTTTATTAGCATGTTTGTAGGTTAAATCGGTGAACATTGTAAAAATCTTAAATGTCAGCATGATAACATTCAGTGTGGTCATGCTAGTGTGCTGATGTTAGCATTTAGCTCAAAGCACTGCTGTGCCACAGCTTCACACATCTGCTAATAAAATATGGTTTCTATCTGGATTTTTAAAATGTTAAACAGATAATGACAAATACGGCAGCGGTGTCTTAACACTTCAGTGTTTTGAGTTTCTTTTCTGCATTCGGTGCACGCTGTGATCAGATCTCATTTTCACAGGCACCGTGCAAAGCTGGTGAGTAGGTGAGAAGGTGGTACTGTAGTCCTATTGTCAGTAAAACCAAACACTCAGGGTCACCGCAAGTGATCTTACATGAGGGGTCACAAGTAGAGACTGCTTCTTGGGGTTTAAGGGGTTCACAAGCCAAAAAGTTTGGACCTGCTGATTTACAGTCATAAGTTGTCCTAGTGCTGAATACCTTTTAGAAAGTTGAAGTTAGATTGAAACCAACACATAAGTTTAGTATAACTCAAATATCCCTGCACATTTTAATGTTACAGACTGAACTTAATAAGGTCCACTTAACCCTGGTGACCCCATGGGGGAAGTTTTCATTGTTGGTGGCTTATTTGTTCATTTATCTACATTATGTGGCAGGATGAGGTTGTTATAGTGGTTATAGGAAGTGGTTTAGTGGTTTTCCGCTCATTGCTTTTGGCCTGCAGCTTTACTGCAGTCTCACTGCTCTCCTCAGTATTGACAGCGAAAAAGCCCTGGTAAAGTAGCTATGCACTGCAAATCCAAACAGACACAGTTAGGAAGTGAGCAAAGTGGAGGTTTTAGCCACTAAAGAGCCAGATATTTTTCTCAGGAGCTGATGAGGATCAAAACAAAGCTAAAAGAAGAGTGATTGCTGGGGACAGAAACACAGCAGCAGGCCAGTGTTGCTCTGTATTAATTTAGTTTCTTTTGAGCTTGTTTCATTGTCTTCAAGTGGCCAGAAAGTCAAGTTTAAGTTTAATCTACAAATGGTAAAAATGTTTTTAAACTTCCTGTTCAGTTAGACCAACTCTATAAATACGGATCTACAGCTAACTGTTAGGATTTTTACTTGATAATGACTGAAACGGTTATTCGATCATCAAATTGCCTGTGACTAATTGATTTACTAATTGTTTCAGTGCTAATGTCATCAGATCATTCAGCTCAGCAGAACAAGGCTGTCGGTGCACCCTGGGGTGGTCTGGTAATGAGCTGCCATTAGTATCTAATCAGTCCATTGTCCAGGCTGCAGGATCTCCCTGTCATACTCTGTTTTACCTTTTGGCGTTAGCAAACAGGAATGATTGAAGTACCTTGTCTGCTTGTCTGTGTGTGCTTGCAGCTGTGAGCGTGTTGTACATGTGTTTAAGTGAAAATGTGGGAGTGACCCTTTCAAAGAAAGGTATTCCTGGTGACATGTGACCTTTCTTAGACCAAGTGATTAGCAGCCGAGTCCTGCAGCTGCCCGTCTCCTGTGGTAATGGAAGAATCTGCTCTGTGCTCCACCACAAGAACCCATCATGCACTATTTGTTATCATCACTGTCATCACTGGACTCAATGATTATTAATATTTTTGAGGCTTTTAATCCAGGAGCAGTAATGGTGTCTCACCAGCTGTTAAGACTGTTGTAGTATGTGGGAGAAAATATTTTCACAGTACTTTGCTTTCACTAGCCCAGTTATATGATTGGGCTGTTAAAGTAAACAGGAAAAGGAAATGCATTTGTTTAGTGAAGAGCTCTTAGCGGCTGTCCTGAGTGCACGGTACTGAAAGGAAAACGTTTGTGCATGCATTTGACAGGGGGGCTGAGTGAGTGAATGGATGCACCACCCGCTTTTTGTGATATTTTATTTATTTATTTTTCTAATCATGCAGTTGTTGGGTGGCTCCCGGGCCTGACAGAGTTTACAGAATAGCAGGATGAGGTGAAGTGTTTTCATTTGGCTCAATCGCTCTTCTGAAAATCAGAGTGTGGTGTTTATAGTTAAAGGCAGAAAAGCTGGAGTGATTGACTGCAGAAATCCTTTCAAATGGAAAAACACAACTATGATGGAGGGAAAAGCAACACATTATTGTCTACACAGTATGTGTTTATGGCAGTGGTGATATTCACAAAGAATGTCTTGAAGTGCTGGCTCAGCACACTGCAGGGTGAAGAGGCAGTGAAGTAACACTGGGCCAGAGTATAGATGCTCTGCTCTTTGTTTTTCAGATACAACTCTGCAGCGTGGACAGTGTTGCATAATGCAGCATTTGTTGCGATACCTACCAGGTGGTGCAATATTTCTTCATCCCTCTTTGTCTTTCTGTTTTTTCCTCCTACTCATCTGTGTGAGAATAAAGACAATCATTCATATTAACAGAGGTCAAAGGAGAAAGAAAAACATTTAGGAGAATTATATCAAGATCTCAGTGTTGACTAGACATGTTACTCATATAGTTGTAGTAAGATACAGTATATAAAGATAGAGGGGCTTTCAAAATATTCATATTTCAAGGGCAGTTGTAGTGAGTGTGCCACAGGGAAAAGGTCCAAATGAGCATTTATGGTTGTGTCAAACTACTGGATGGATTTCCATGAAATTATTGGAATCAAAATGGAGTTTCATCGAGAGATCTGTATTAACTTCCAGTCCTACTTCCCATGAACCTCAGCTGTACTTTTTGTTTAATGCTAATTGTAGTTTATTAGCATGTTTGTAGGTTAAATCGGTGAACATTGTAAAAATCTTAAATGTCAGCATGATAACATTCAGTGTGGTCATGCTAGTGTGCTGATGTTAGCATTTAGCTCAAAGCACTGCTGTGCCACAGCTTCACACATCTGCTAATAAAATATGGTTTCTATCTGGATTTTTAAAATGTTAAACAGATAATGACAAATACGGCAGCGGTGTCTTAACATCTCAGTGTTTTGAGTTTCTTTTCTGCATTCGGTGCACGCTGTGATCAGATCTCATTTTCACAGGCACCGTGCAAAGCTGGTGAGTAGGTGAGAAGGTGGTACTGTAGTCCTATTGTCAGTAAAACCAAACACTCAGGGTCACCGCAAGTGATCTTACTGTACAGCCTGTGCTTGCTTTTCTTATTTTTTTTTACCTACTGTACCAGCAAGACGTCATCCACAACTGCTGGAGACAACAGAAGTGACAAATTCTTTGGAAGGCTCATACACAGCAGAGCTGCAGTGATGATGTGCATGCCTACAGCTACACTGGATGTTTTATTACTTATTAAGAGACCCTGTATTCTAGATTTTTCTGGAGGCTAACAGTTCTTTCTCTCCTTCCCTTTCTGAGGTGAAAGCCCTCACTCTGTTTGTGACCCATTACCCTCCTCTGTGTGAGCTGGAGCGGCTGTATCCTGAACAAGTGTCGAACTACCACATGGCTTTCCTACTCAATGAGCCTTCCACCACTACTGACAGTATGTGTATGCATTTTTGTGTTTATATGAAAATGCTTTCAATATTTTTTGATGGAAATTGTCTTTTGACTGTTGTGTTGTAGGTAAATTAGAATCAAATCATTGTCATGTGGCACTTCGTTGAGATTGTAATGTGTGTGTGTGCGTGCAGATGGAGAGGTTTGGCCAGAGTTCATCACCTTCCTCTACCAGTTAACTGAAGGAGCTGCAGGGCGGAGCTATGGCCTGAATGTTGCCCGATTGGCTGACATCCCAGACACTATACTACGCACTGCTGCACACAAATCCAAAGAGCTGGAGATCATGGTCAACGCCAGGAGGTACAGTGATCACACACATTAACCTTGACCACTTCCTAAAGGGCGACTCCTCTCCACATCAAGATCTATTTTATACTCGTGGGGGGGGGTACAACTTGGCTTGCAAAAATATTTGTATCGTGTATTCTATGGGTCTGTATGGGCTTTTTAAAGTTAAAATGATGTGAGGGTAAGGCCACACTGAAAGCCACCTGTCTTTGAAATATTGCAAGAGAGCATGTTAGTTGCAGCATGTTGCCTCAGGTACCAGCGGGACAACAGCTCTTTTCAGATAGGCACTGCAACGCTGAAACTACTTAGATGTGTGTATGTGTGAAAATACAGCAGATTATAGTCCAGAGGTTTCTCATCAAGCTAGTGGGCATGTTGAAGACGTTTGTCATGTGACTGGTGCAAAACCAGAAGATACAAACATCCAGTGGCGAAGAAGAAGAGTTGGAACTTCTGTCATTTAGGGCCAACGCTGAAATAGTCAGACAACTGTTTGCACAACTGCACGAGACATCTTTATAATCGTAAACCGTCATCAAGAAAAAGTACTGGCAAATTGGCTGGAGTGCTATGAACAGCTTATGTTTACATTTAGAAACGTGCCATTCATGTTACTAAGTAAACTCTCAGCACAGTGTTTTGCCAAATCACATCATACTGTATTGTGCTAAGAGCCTGGTTTGAATTTTTTACTGGAAGACCCTGTGTTTTAACTTGCCAGAGCCCCTTGTGTTGGCAGCCCCACTGCCACTGGACTGGCCTCATTCAAATGAATGTGAGGCTGCAGTTTTTGTTTTGTTTTTTTAACACAGGGGCCAAGTTGGACTGAACGCCACCTAACACATAATCAGGATGTTGATATTTTGAACTAAAAGTCAGGGTAGCTTGGCTTTTGCTACCTTGAGTTTTAACTGTATTCCTCCTTAATCTGTTCTACACCTTTATGTAACACTAAGTCTCTGTTCTGCTGTTTAAACCCATAAGTCATCAAACATCATATTCTTGTGTTTTTGGATAGTTTCTTAAATGTTATTAAGCGGAAATGTAACCTGACAGCTGAAATTAGGAAACAGCCGGGTGTCATGAAAAAATAAAACTCAAAGCAGCTCCAGCGGCACTAAATTGAATGTTTATTCAAGGTTTAAGACTCAACTGAACTTGATTTCATACTTGTGCTAACACATCTGAGCCAGTAAATGCACCAGCAGCCCTGAAAAATCAGAATGCGATATGGATTAGTAGAGCAGCGCTGGCTGTCACCTGACGATAGAGCATTTTACAGAGGAGAGAGAGTCAAGCAGGTTTATGACAGGACAGTTTTTGGTTTGTGTCATGTCTGGGGTGCAATTTCCCGTTAGCAGAAGTGGAATAGTTTTTGATTTATAATGTGGTTATGAATTAAAACTGAGTTTTAACTAATGTAAATGTGCCAGAATTTATTGAAATTTAGAAGATTTAATGTCTTTTGTCAGTCCTCTGTCATGGCATTTGTTCTCCCTGAGGGTCCAAATTTTCTTTTTCAAAGTGTTGAGGATATTGCACAAAAACACATCAATATGGAAAGGAAGATAAACTATATGTTTTAATACTGATGTAGAAAGGATTTTCTGTTAGATGAAACATCCACTCTCAGGCAGAGATGCTCTGCTTATGTTATGTTATGTTATGTTATGTTATGTTATGTTACGGGAAACAGAAATGCAGCTAATTCTTAACCTTTTGCTGTCGACCTGTCACCACATCGCACTTTTTATAAACTGTGTAAATTGAAACACTGTATCTCTGTGCTCTGTAACACACAGGTTGAGTGCTGCCAAGACTCTTCCAAAGTAATTCTCACCATATGAACCATCTGTCTCACACAGAGCCATGCCTCTGTGCTCTGTTGGTGTAATCCTCTCTGTATGAAAGATTTGCCCTTTGTCAGAATGAACCCAGGCTGAGCGTACAATAATCTTACACAAAGGAGTTGAGCTGCTGTGCTGGGGGTTAAGAACAGGGGTTTTATTGCACTCTCTAACAGCTATATGCAAGAGTATAGTATATATAATACTGTAGAGTTTTGTATACCGTATTTTGTTTAAGCAACATTTCACTGTGTTTGTTTCCATCTCTTTAGGAAGAACAAGAGACTTCTCTCAGATCTTTGGAACATCTCAGACAGATCATCCCTCATGGAGTGGCTGCAGTCAAACTCTTGACACCCCTACAACAGTACTTGGCACCATCAATTATCACACACATTACCTGACGTTTTACCGAGAAGATAGAGGAATATACATTCTGACATGCTAGTATGTAATGTGTACAGGATTTTCACCATTTCAGGTTCTGGTTATCACCATCATCTGTACTGTACAAGTAATACCACCTGATCAAAATTTTACCTTCCAGACTAGATGTGCCATCAATTTTTTTGCAAATTAAATAAAGAAAGAAAGACTGTTGTAATGAGATGGATGTTAGCAGAGCATCAGCAGCAGCTGTGGAGCTCAGTGTAGCACTTACAGCACTTGTAGGTCATCCACGGTTTAAAATATACAATCATATAAATGGTAGGCAAACACACTTGGAGCCTATAAATATGCTTCAGGCCATGTTTACCTGCATAGTGCAAGTAAAACACAAACCACTGTGGCACCTGTGTTAGCTGGACTGATGAAATAAATGTCCTGTTGCTGCTTCTGTTCTGAGTGCAAAATGCAGCTGAAACACTTTGTCTAGACCACAGATGTATTAAGGAGAACTGGATTCCGCATTAGAAGATGAAGCCCACTTTATTCCTCTGAAAGTTGCTCAGTGATTTAGATGCCTAAAATAATCTTCATGCTTTCAAATTCAAGCCATAAAAATGACCCAAATGCCCCATATGCTTTTGCATTTTAGGCTTAGAGCACATGCACTCCCACTGGTCAAGCCCACTTGCATGTGGCTCCCTGCATATGGGATAAAATTAAAAATAGATTGCCATTGTAGTGAATCCTAAAACCCAGAACTGAGTTATCGGCTCAGCTAGAATTTCCAATTAATTTGTACTCAAAGGATAAAATTCTGATAATAAAAAAAGAATCATTTCACCGGGTTTGTGATGTTTTGGAAAACGCATTTACTGTTTCATAGCCACTCCTTTTCCAGTATGATAAAAGGAGAATTTCGGGCCTGTGTGTGATGAATGCGAAAGTTGTAGTAACGTGGTTTGCTTCACATGTCGGCGCTGTTCACGTGGACTTGGTCTGAACAGGGTGACGTAATTATTCCATCAATTTAGCACTGAAATACAATTGTTGGACGCACGAGTGGCAGTTTGTTAAAAGTTAATATGTGGCGCCTACATTACCCACACTGCACCTCAGTCACTGACAATTCAGTTGGGGATCTGGGTGTGTTGTAGTGCTAGTACAACCTTATGTGGGCTACACATGTCTGGAAAACTCTTCTTTCTAACTCCACAATCCTAGATTGTGTTTATATTATTAGTTTAAAGTGACGTCACGATGCAATTGTTCAGATTGATGAGGAGGCTAATCACAAAGCCTCTGAGAAAATCTGCCTTACATCTTGGTCTCCCACTCGCTCGCTCTCACTCTCAAACGCACACATAGAACTAAACCACGCTCCGCCTTTAATTCCACCAACTCCAGGATCAGCGCGCATCACCGGGGAGAGAGGAGGACAGAGAGACCTAGTGGGAGCGAGAGAAAAAGAGTTAACCACTGTCAAAGCCGATTTACAGCTCGTCGGGTCAGATTGTTTCACTGTCTGTCCACTTGTGGGTTCTCCCCCTTTGTGGACGACGCCTGGTTTTCTCCTGTTTGCTATTTTTAGTTTTTTTTGTTGTTGTTTTTTTTGTTGTTGTTGTTTTGTTTTGTTTTTTATCGAGAAGCATGGATTTATTCTAGTGCTTGTGGGACTTTGGCATCACTACTATGAGTTCCTCTGCAGAAGCGCGTCCGTCAGAAGGGCAACTTTTCTGTGCGCTAAGGCGCCGCTGAGCCGCGCGTCTCTCGGTGGGAAAGTTTACACGCAACCCCCTGTGAACATGGGCTTGCGGTGAAGACCCCGGTTGTCCCACTTTCTTCTCTCTTCCAAACTGTGCGACAAAATGCAGAAGAGCGTTCGCTACAACGAAGGCCACGCGCTGTTTCTGTCGGCGGTCGCGCGTAAAGAGGGGACCAAGCGCGGCTACCTGAGCAAGAAGACGGCGGAGAACAGCCGATGGCACGAAAAGTTCTTCGCCCTCTACCAGAATATACTGTTCTACTTCGAGAACGAGCAGAGCGCGCGCCCTGCCGGGATTTACCTGTTGGAAGGATGCACCTGTGAGCGCGCACCGGCCCCCAAGATGTCCACCATAGGGAAGGAAGCGCTGGAGAAACAGGTGAGAGATTTAGAGAAAGCACGGGGCGTCAATACATAGATGCCTGCTGCCAGTGAACAAGTTCTCACATCTAATCTTATCTGCATCCACAACTTCTCGAAATCTGCTCACGCCCGCTGACACACATGGAACAAATTGTGCCGACACTGATTGTATGGTCATTTGACAAATAATCACTGCTAACAGCCATGCATACCATAGACAGCGCAGTTTCTGGAGACGTGTCTTTTTCAGATGATGGTTTCCAAATACAAACACGCACTTGCAGCATCACACTAAAGTTGCTGCAGCAGCTCTGCTCTACAATTTTAGAAAGCCCTGCAGTGTTAAAGAGCACCAAGTGCATCCCCCTAAAGCAGGTGACCATACCCCCGGGAGTCAGATGTGCAAATGGTAGGAGAGAGCGGTTACAGCTGACTACAGCAACAGTATTTTTCCAGTTCTGGGGAAATGAATAAATCCAAAAATGACTCTGTCCTTACCAGTATTTTGGAACCGTTTTTTTTCTCTTTGAGATCATGAAGCTGGCTATATATATATA